GTGTTTTGTGGCCAATTTTACTGTCAGAAACAAACTGCAGCTTGACAGATGCACTTTGCCTCACCGCCGCAGCAGCACCCCGATGAGAATCTGCCTCTGGTGTTTTTTAGCTCAGTCTTTTGTTAATGACAGACTCGGTTTGAGGAGGAACGTGTACTCGCAATAAGCAGACAGTTTGAGCCGTCAGCAGAGGGAGGCCGAGCGGTCTGAGCTGGTGGGTGGAAATGAATAATTCCACAGTGTCTGTCTGGGTCCCCTCAGCCTCCCCGGATCTCATTGTTTTTGAATGCAGAGTGTACTTGGCGTGGCCTTCGCTCACGCTGTCTGGCTGTTTGTAACCTGGCCTTTCTCTGTATTGACAGACAACCTCGTTGTCTGTGAAATCCGGTACGGCAGCAACGTCTCTGCCCCCCGTCTGCAACCCTGCTAATTAAAGCTTGATGCGACCCAACAGTCTCAATTCGTCTGCGCAACGTTATCATCATTGTTTCCTGCTCTGCTATTTACAAACAAGGAGAATAGAGATAAAAATGGAAAACCTGTCAAGCAGGAGGGGAAACTTGATTTTTTTTGAAGCTTTAAATGATTATTGGAGTTTAAAATTAGCATGCAACAGATTATTCTTTTCTTATTTTCCTAGCTTAGCTTGTTGGCTGAAACATTTAAACTTTGGTCTTGGGGAGCGAGTGATGAACAGCCTCCACATTTTCTAAGAATTTCCAGATGAAAAGGATTAATTGGTTAATAAAAGTAATAATTAATTAATAATTAAAAAAACAATTAATAACAGGTGTGGTTTGAATAAAGGCAACTCTGTTCCTCATTTGGAGGGCAGCTTTTAAACTGGATGTGCATTCTTCCCAACGTGAGAATATTCTGGGATTTCTGTCTTTCTCCACACGTTCTCATTGTTACCCCTCTTGGCCATTAGACGAGGCGAGCGAGAGCGCGCGTCGTGAGCGAGCGTGCGCTCATACACGTCTGAGCAATTTGATTTTTCTCTTTGTGTGCATGCGAAGCGGACGTGAAGGCATGTGCCTTTTCTCTCCCATCCCTCCTCCGTTCAGCCTCGGCGAGGTCTGAGCAAAGCCGGAATAAAAGGGGAGCGAGAGGAGGAGAAAGTACTCCCAC